GTTGAGTCAAATCTCTTTGGAATTCACACAAATATGGATCTTTTCCAATCAATTGGCAATGTAACTGTCTTCTATATTTCTTGGCAAAGGTGAGTGAGTATCTCCAGTGCTGCATCAGTTTGTTGAAATATTTCAAATTGTATTTCCTCAATTCCTGTATATTTGTTCTTTGTCTATGCCTTCAGAAAACTTTAGACTTCTTCTTCAGTAGCATTGTTTCATGATCATATGCTATCTCTTGAAATGGGAGATCCTCACTAGATGGAATACACAGAAATCCAATTACTACATCTGTGGAATGAAATGGTGGCAAAGCTTCATATCATTTGGCAAAACAAATTTAGGGACAGACTGTGGAAGAACTACGAATTTCTCATTTACAAGTTCAGGCTGAAGTTGAAGAAAACTAAAATAAGTTCATAGGAGTCAAAATAAAACATTAAACATATTGTACCAGAGCAAAAGATTATCTCAAGAACATATTTGATAGATTGAACACTAGTGAGAGAAGACTGGAGAGTTGTGGGATGACATAAAAAGACTATATAGAAAGAAAACAAAAAATCACTAAGACAACAAGAAAGGAGTGTCCATCAATGGAAGAGTGGATAAACAAACGTTGGTACATGCACACAATGGCATACTATGCTATCTTGAAGAATAACAATGAAGGTTCAAAATACCTGACATCATGGATGAACCTTGATGACATTATGCTGAGTGAAAATAGTCACAAAAGGAAAAACATTGCATAAGAACATTGTTGTAATAGCTTATGTTAAAATTTCCAATCTCAAAGAAAAAGTCTTTGATGGTTACCAGGGGTGGTAAAAAGGGGTTAGTAATTCACAAGTTAGATGCCTGATGCATGAAAGCTTGGGTGATGGGGAGTCCAATATACAAGTAAGGGGAGGACAATACAGAAGGGGGAGGGATAGAGGAACAAGCAGATCGGGAATAATTACGGAGGTATTCATGGGCTAAATGGGATTGAGGTAAATTGAGATGTATACAAACTCTTGGAACAACAGGGCTCTGTGATATAGGGACCAGACATAGTTGGAATGGGTAAAGTAGGGGAGATAATGTTAAGATACTTCAATGGCTTGTGGATATTGGTTTCCCTGACTTCTCTTTAGTTGTGATAGAATAGAATATTGGGAAGTATGATTATAGAAAGCTTGCAAATCCATCTTCAGCCAG